CCAATTCTGTTTAGAATAAATATTGAATAAATATTGAGTGGGTGTTGTCATCTGCTGGATTTTTCTTAGTTAAGTTGCATATATAACATATCCCGGTGAAAAGGGGAGATGGAAATTGTGATAAAATGGCTTTTAGACCATTAGTTAGGAAGTAGGATACACAAAATAACAGATGTCCATGTATAGCAGTTTCTTTTCTGGTAAATAACATGAAATGCTTATTAAAAGAAGTATGTTAGTGTGTTCATTTAGCTCATTCTATCTTTACAGAAAACTAAATGTTTAATCTTTATCTAATATAGCTTCTAGCTGTACCAGAATGAACATTGAGCTTGATTCATTGCTATTACAATACTACTAAACTTATCACTGATTTCATCAATATAATGGTTAAAGGTTAATGGTTAAAAAGCAAAATAAATGTGCTAGACATGTAAGGTCATATAGCACTATAGGAAAGTATAGTAAAGGGTGGTGAAGGGTGATAGTTGCTATGCATCAACTATCAAGAGTAATACTGAAGGATTAAAGATGGGTAAAGGAGTTAATTAGTAAATGGGTTATGGTGGTTTAGGCAAGGGGATTAAATTAAGTGAAGGATATGTATGTATCTGAGGAAGGAGAACAGGTTGTCAAAGCAGAAAGTGTAGGATTCTGTAAGGATGTCTGATAGGTTAGGAGGTCAGTGAAGGGAGGATAGGTGGGGGAAAGCAGATGTGTGGACTGTAGCAAAGCATGGACAGGACAAAAGAATGTGTGGAACTGAAAGAGGACATTACATAGGGGATTGGGAATTAGTATAGGATGATGTGTAAGAAAAGTCTCTTGGAGGCATATAATGGATGAGTTACAGGAAGAAAAGATATAACGAAGGTCAGGTCTGTGAGAATGGATACTGCAAATATTCCAATGTAGGAGAGCTATTACTTAGTTGATCTACAACTGATAATGGTTACAGTGCATTTTGGAGAATTTGAAGGGAAAGGGGGTGATAAGGAATTGAATTGGAGGAGGGGGTAGTACCAGGAGGTGGAGGATCTGGGGAAGGGCAAAGTTGTGACATAAGGGATTCATGTGTGTATCTAGAGGGAGTGGAAGGGATAGAGGGGATGGAGGGAGGGTTAATGTATGTGTAGTTGGCTCTGAGGGAGATGGGCTATGTTGGGAGGCAGTAGGAGGAAGGGGGTAGGGGAATATGAGTAAGAAGAGGATGGATATCGGCAGTCACTTTGAGTGTGGAGAAAGCAGGAGTTGTGGAATTTGAGGGTGGGCACATGGTTTTGGTGTCATTTTGGGATTCCATCAGATAATTTTGAATATCTTCAAGAGTTTCTGCTGTGGAGTTGATGGAGTTTTGCGAGACAAAGGTTTTCTTATGAGGGGGGGGGTAGTAAAGGCAAAGGTAAAAGGAGGAGGAAGAGGGAGTGTTGTTGAGAGAGGTAGTATTACTGAGAAGTGCACAATAAGGCTGTAAAAGTCAACACTAGACTATGTCATATCTAAACTAAAAGATTAAATATTGGTTTTGAATTTAATTACCTTGGTCAAAGCACAGTCAGCTGCATGTCAAAATCAAATTTCCTTTCACTTCTTCCTTTCTTTTGAGTTCTAGTGTTATCTATTTATATTCATTACATATTATTAGTTAATTTACAACAATAACAGCAAAATGAATTTTGTGTGCAATTACAGGTAATCATTTGTCCTACAACACAAGTATCTAAAAATGTGAATATCTTGTTATAATTAGTGCATTAAATCTACACTCTAAACTGGGTGCAATGGACTCTTTCAAACATAAAAATAGTATAAAGATATTTCAGAACAAAAGGAAACAAATCTTCTGACTGCAATCATTATCATCATAGAATCTGTGTGATTAGTCATAAACTGGAAAAAAATATCAATGCCTCTCATATTCTCTCTTTAAGTGATCCTATTTTTCCTAGTGAGTACTTGACCACAGCTATCATTATATCTCTTTACTCTGTACCTTTTAAATTTCTAATTAGTGCCAATTATGGCATTTAAGACGAGTGACTCAAGAATTCATTGTCTTACAAAATTTTTATCGTATCAATCTGGGAGGGGATTCTGCACTGAAGCATAAAACATATAAGAGTAAATTTCCAATTTCATCCAGCCTCCAACTTTCGAAACAATTGTTTTAGGAATGGATAATTCCTTTGCTGTTTAGTGCTGTAATACTGCTGTTCTCCTTTGCATCTGACTACTTGACCAGTGACGTAACTTGTACTTCCCGACGTCATAGTCATAGGTTTCGCACTGTATTTTGGGGAAGAATTTGCATGATTTACATGCAGAAAAACAAAACAAAACCATTAAAAAACCTTTAAATCATGTTTGTTGAACTCTACGGGAACGGGAGCCATGTTTCACCTAGACAATTACAGACTGCAATTGTACAGTTAACTCTAGGTTTACCTTTTGTCTGTTTCCACACAATACAAATGCATTAAATCATGATTAAACAAAAATA